TGTTTTGGCCCCACCGTACCCCTAGGGGTCATGATTTGAACAAACTCTACACTACCTGAGGATGCTATGATAAATATGACCAATCATGGCTTAGCTGTTCATGAGAAGAAGATTTTTTTCATGTTTTCTATGTATTCCTATGTAAAACTTTGATCACCCATTGTGGCCCCACCCTACTCCCTGAGGTCATGATTTGAAGAAACTTGAATCTACACTACCTGAGGATAATTTCTCATAAATTTCATATTTTCTATCCCAGTGGTTCTTGAGAAGAAAATTTTTAGCTCTTCTGAGCCAAAGGCTCAAAGAGCTAATGCTATGGCCATTTGTGTGGTGTGCATAAACTTTTTAGAATAAGGGCCATAACTCAAAAACCCCTTGGCCAATTATTGTTAAATTTGTCACAGGGTATCCTTGGCCCAAGGGCTCCCATTTGTACTAAAACTAGGGCTGTGACTCTTAAACAAGGGGAGATAATTAGGAAAATAGAAACAAAAGTACTGATTGCTAAAAATCTTCTTATCAAGAATCACTGGGCAGATTATCACTAAACTTACACAAAAGGATAAGGATATGTTGTAGATTAAAAATTGTTCAAGGCATCATCCTGGGACAAAGGGCGTGGTCTCAAGGTCACTTCAAAGTTGACCAAAAATTACATTTTATTAAAATGTTTATATTTTGCATACTGTAAGGACTAGGATCATCAAATCTTGTCAGTCAATGCATCTAAGGACCTCATATCATGTTGACTCAAAAGTAGGTCATGGTGACCTATTTTTTAAATTTTGCGGCCATTCTTTTTCAATATGATTTAGAGGCATATTTTGAACAATTTAAGGCTTATGATCATCAAACTTTGTCAGTTGATGTATATTGGGTCCTGGGAGTACATCAAGGTGACCTACTTTTTAGCTCACCTGAGCTTTTCTGATCACCTGTTGTCCGTCGTCCATCCATCGTCGGTCCGTCTGTAAACTTTTCACATTTCAACTTCTCCTCAAGAACCACTGGTCCACTTTTAAGCAAAATTGGTACAAAGCATCCTTGGGTGAAGGGGAGTTTAAATTGTTAAAATAAAGGGCCAAGCCCTCTTCCAAGGGGAGATAATCAGGAAAAGACAAAAATAGGGTAGGGTCATTAAAAAATCTTGGTCTCAAAAACCACCGGGTCAGAAAAGCTGAAACTTATGTGGAAACATCCTGGGGTAGTGTAGATTCTAAATTGTTCAAATCATGACCCCCGGGGGTAGGGCGGGGCCACAATAGGGTATCCAAGTTTTACATTGAAATATATAGAAAATATCTTAAAAAATCTTCTTCTCAAGAATCACTGAGCAAGAAAAGCTGAAACTTATGTGGAATCATTCTGGGGTAGTGTAGATTCTAAATTGTTCAAATCATGGCCCCCGGGGGTAGGGCGGGGCCACAATAGGGAATCCAAGTTTTACATTGAAATTTATAGGAAAAATCTTCTTCTCAAGAACCACTGAATCAGAAAAGCTGAAACTTATATGGAAGCATCCTGGGGTAGTGTAGATTCTAAATTGTTCAAATCATTACCCCTGGGGGTAGGATGGGGCCATAATAGGGAATCCAAATTTTACATTGAAATATGAAGAAAATAAATTTATAAAATCTTTTTCTCAGGAACCACTGGACCAGAAAAGCTGAAACTTATGTGGAAGCATCCAGGGGTAGTGAAGATTTTAAATTGTTTAAATCATGACCCCGGGGTAGGGCGGGGCCACAATAGGGAATCCAAGTTTTACATTGAAATATATAGGAAAAATCTTCATCTCAAGGACCGCTGAACCAGAAAAGCTGAAACTTATATAGAATCATCAAAATTTGTCAGTTGATGTATCTTGGGTCCTTAGAGTAGGTCGACTGAAAAATAGGTCACTGTGACCTACTTTTCAATTTATATGACTATAATTAAATACTTTTGGTACTAATTGGCTTAGAGTCATCAAACTTTGTCAGTTGATGTATCTTGGGTCCTCGGATTACAACAATGGCTTCAGGTGAGATAAAAAGGTTTACATAGAAATATGCATAATTCTGGAAGAAGAGAAACACAACAAATAAACTTGACAAAAAAACCTCAAATTACATTAATTTATGACCACAAATGACAATCAGTTGCTTCATTTATTTAAATATTCATATCACAAGAAGAAAAAGACTACACAATCATGTTAGCTCTGTGGCCTACAGATCCCTTGTTATATATATCCTGCTACAAATACTTTCTGAAAATTGAGAGAACAGTGGAATCTTTTACACCCTTAATTGGTATAAAACAGAAAACATTTTTTTAAGTACATGAATTTATTTTTTGACATAAATAATACATATATACATATATATTGCATTTTAACTTTTACCATGACTAATCAAAAAACAAAAATGGCTACCCTAAGGCCACACACAAGTAGTTCTATTATGCCTTTCAGCAACATAATGTCCTTTTTTTACTCTACCAAACACTAAGGATCCTTCTTATATATAGATTTAAAAAAAAGCAAAAAAAAAACTTGTAAATTAATAATTTTAAGAATGACTAGTACCCTTTAATGAAATCTGTGGAAAAATATCAAAAGGCCAGTAACAATCTGCACAATACAAATAATGCTGTATCATTTTGCATATCTGTAACTTATATCTTGATGGGTTAAACAATGAAGACTAAAAAGGAAAAAAAATTAACACATTCAGACATGTCAGATTATTGTAATTAAAGCTAAGTAAAGGTTATTGTCAGAAATCAACAGTTGATTATTCTTTGTTTGGAGGGAGGACTGGAGCGTAATGAACCCTGGGTAAAGTTATACTTTTTTGGGGCAAGGAAATCTGCACAAATAAATATCTCGTCCTGGATGGAAAAAAATCACAAAATCAATAATAAACAAGAGGCCCAAGGGCCTTGAATCGCTCTTCTGATAAACTGTACAACCTATCACTTCTATTTGAAGCCTCTAAGTATCCTGTATATTTAGATAAAGCCTTAAAATTCCAAAGGTAGGTCATCATGACCTACATTTTAGATGAAACACTCTGAGAACTCAAGATGATTCTAAGGCAATTAGTATCTGAGAATAGGTCATGGTGACCTACTTATCACTTGTCATTCTCTGAGGATCCAAGATGCATCAACTAAGTTTGATGATTCTAAGCAAATTAATACCTAAAATATTTTTAAAATTATAACCATAAAATTTCAAAAGTAGGTCACAGTGACCTACTTTTCAGATGACTTACTTTCAGGACCCAAAATGCATCAACTGACAAAGTTTGATGATTCTAAGCCAATTAGTACCTGATGTATTTAAATAAAGCCATAAAATTTCAAAAATAGGTCACAGTGACCTCCTTTTCAGTTGACTAACTCTGTGGATCCAAGATGCATCAACTGACAAATTTTGAAGATTCTAAGCCAATTAGTACCCAAAAATATTAAATACAAAAAAATTTCAAAAGTAGGTCACAGTGACCTACTTTTCAGTTGTCGTAATCCAAGGACCTAAGATGCATCAAAAGACAAAGTTTGATGATTCTAAGCCAATTAGTACCTGAAATACGGTATTTAATTAAAGCCATGAATTTTCAAAAGTAGGTCACAATGACCAACTTTTCAGTTGTTGTACTCCGAGGACCCAAGATGCATCATCAGACAAAGTTTGACGATTCTAAACCAAATAGTACCTGAAATATTTAATCAAAGCCATAAATTTTCAAAAGTAGGTCATGGTGACCTACTTTTCAGTCAACTTACTCTGAAGACCCAAGATGCATCAACTGACAAAGTTTGATGATTCTAAGCCCATTTCTACCGAAATATTTAATAATAGTCATATAAATTGAAAAGTAGGTCACAGTGACCTACTTTTCCGTCAACCTACTCTGAGGACCCAAGATACATCAACTGACAAATTTTGATGATTCCAAGCCAACGAGTACCCTAAATATTTAAATATAGCCATAAAATTTCAAAAGTAGGTCGTGGTGACCTACTTTTTAGTTGACGTTTTTTGTGGACCCAAGATGCATCAACTTACATTTTAGTTTTATGATCAACATTTTAATAAAATGTAATTTTTGGTCAACTTTGAAGTGACCTTGAGACCACGCCCTTTGCCCAAGGGTGATTTGCCGTGCAAATTTCAATCTACAACACATCCTCATCCTTTTGTGTAAGTTTAGTGATAATCTGCTCAGTGGTTCTTGAGAAGAAGATTTTTAACAACCAGTAATTTTGTTTCTATTTTCCTAATTATCTCCCCTTGTTTAAGGGTCACAACACTAGTTTTAGTATAAACAGGAGCCCTTGGGCCAAAGATACCCCGTGACAAATTTGACAATAATTGGCCAAGGGGTTCTTGAGTTATGGCCCATATTCTAAAAAGTTTATGCACACCGCACAAATGGCCATAGCATTAGTTCTTTGAGCCTTTGGCTCAGAAGAGCTAATAAAATCATGCAAGTGTTTTGCATGTCACTTTTAAAATATCATTTTCCCAAAATTACAATAATTTATACACTTGTTAGAAGAGTGGAAAACATATCTAATTTCCACCTCCAACTTTTAAATATAAAACTTAATATTTTCATGCTTAAAATTTGATATTGTGCTTCTGACTAATGAAGAATATTATCTTACAATATTATACATGACCTTCAAAAAGACTATTTTCACTTCCTCTTCATGAAAAAATTGTGTATGCCCTTTATTTTTTATGCAATGAGTCCTATCAATATCTGCAAAGGACCTTCTCAATATTTCAACAGATTCCATAATGAGTTTATCTTGAAACTCAAAATTAAAGTTCCGATAATGGTCCAAAGATACTAACTGACACAAATACCCATGGGCTCACCTAAGCACTTTGGCTGGAGAAAAGCAGAAATCAGTTCAATATTAAAAAGTTTAAATAAATAAGTGATCCCCCCCCCCCCCACCGACCAGGGGCAGGAAAGTGGGTTTTGATTTGAGCAAACTTGAATCTACACTACCTGAGGATGTTTCCATATGACTAATTATGCTGTTGTTGAGAACATTTAAAAAAAATTCCTATGTAAAAATTTGATCAGCCATTGTGATCCCACCCTACCCCCAGGGGTCATGATTTGAACAAAATTGAATCTACAATACCTGAGGATGCTTCCATATAAATATGACTAATCATGGCTCTGCTGATCTTGAGAAGATTTTTAAAGATTCTTCCTATTTATTCCTATGAAAAACATTGATTGCCCATTGTGGCCCTGCCTTACCCCTTTCTTGAGTGAGGGCATGACCCATCGTTTAAACAAACTTTTAAAAATCCCCTTTATCTAAGGATGCTTTGCAGCAAGTTTGGTTCAAATTGGCCCTAGCGGTTTGAGAAAAAGTTTAAAATGTGAAAAGTTTATCATACAACAGATGGATGCCAGACACCTTTCAATCATAAAAGCTCACTTGAGCCTTAGGCTCAGGTGAGCTAATAAAAGATACCAGACAATTAATGGTGGAGGGGTGATTTGTGTTGTTATGCTTGTACAAAAGAATTTGAAAGATTCCAAGAAATATAATCAATGTAACTAAAGTATTTCTTTGTGGGTATCTCAACTCAAGGAAAAGGTTGATGAATGCACCCAAAAAAAATTATTCATTGGTAAATTTGCATTTTTACTTTAAAAAAAGTTTTCTAGATATGACTTGTTAACAATACAGTTAATTCCAATAAAGTCCCTGGAATATACAGATATTGTGTACATAAAGTTTGGAGTTATTCTACCCTAGAATTATCAGTTTCTAAGTATCTCATTCATAGAGGTTGAAGTACCATATGTTGGTTTATAAAAAATACAAGTATAAGTTTATACCGGTATGCTATATATCTACATAAACTATATCTACGAGAACAAAATTCAAATATAAAGAATTAAAAAAAAATGATGCATACAATGCTACATGTATATGTATTTCTCGCACAAATGCTAAAGGCACACAGAAAATGAAAGACAAGGGGGGAAATGATATAGAAAAAACAAAAAATTAACAAATATATCTAAAAATAGACATTATAATGAATAATCACAATCAGCATTCATCCAAATTCTCAATTTCTCATATTCATGATCAATATGCATGTACATGTGCATGAACCTGCTCACAGGTGTAAATAAATTAGTATCTTTGTTCATCCTCAGTAAAATGGATCAAATGTATTAGTGGTTTAAAATATTCCTATTAATAAGCATACATATGTACTGTAATCGCCGTATAATCCCCCAAAATATACCAGTATACAGGAGAGAAATACCCTCTAAAAAATATTATGTTAGCTTAAACAACAAATTACTCTGAAATCTTTACATAAAAATTGTAATTTACATAGTGGAAAAAAAAACAAGTATCAATGATTCAATCTCATTTATATTTACAACATCCTTACTACAGTAAAACACACTTATAGCGAACACGCTTATAACGAATTGACGCTTTCAGCGAAGTGATTTTCATTCCCTGTGAGTTAACAATATATTGCAAACTTAACGTATATAACGAATTACGCTTACAACGAAGCAAAATCGTCCATTCCTGGCACTTCGTTGTAAGCATGTTTTACTGTACATGTAATGCAAAGAAACAGGGTAGTGGGTATTACATACAGCTGTTTATTACATACTATTCACTGAAAAAAAAATACACTAAGTTTTGATTACATTTAAAATTACATTCTCAAAACAACAATTAATTTGCATAAAGATAAGTTGGAAAATCATGAATCTATCTGATTACCAGTATCTCTACAGCTTTCCTGGGTACTGGCAAGCATGGCTTTAGCCTTTTTGATGTACAACTTACTCTGTACCAACTAAGAACATTTCTTGCATTCTAATTTATCATATCAGATATTAGACTTGAATAATAGTTTAAATTTTCCACAAAATTCTAGCTACCAGACGTTTCTACAATTCTAGGAACAAAATTTGGTTTTATGAACACTTTGCCTTGGGAGAGTCAGCAGATGGGTGGATCAAGAAGTGAAGAGGAGTGGAGCCATACCTATTAAACATCCTAGAGATATTCCTATTACTCTCCCCTGTAAATGAACACACAACTTAGCAAAGTGGAACAAACAAAATATAATAAATGAATCTGAACAGTACTTTTCAAATATTAATGCATGTACAACAGCAGGCATAAATTGCATTGAAGAGAAAAGGGTAATCAGTTAATTCATTTGCTCATATATCACTGCATTACATAACTAAGTTTACAGAGGAATATAAAATTTCACATGAATGAGCTGAAATGGGAAAACCAAAATCCCAAAACCTTCAAAATATTGAAATTTTATTGCTACATATGTTCATGTAATATTAGACATTTGGCATCACACTTAATACTGGTATCTGGACCCTCTACAGTTTTAATTGACATTCAATGCATAATTCATATATCATGAGCAAAAATGATATTTGTTATCTTATCTAGATTGTGAACTGGAGAAAGTGTTATTAATTATGTAAACTGAATGAATACATCAGGAAAAGGGCAGATAACTCCTGTTTCTTTATAAGATTTCACTAAATCAAATACATAAGTATTGCATTAAAAGGAATCAATTAATGTTACTTTTGAAATACAGATGAAAATACCGATGAAATTAGCTACATGTATATGTGCTATATATATCTCAACTTACTGAAGCCATGACAATCTTTGTCTTCCTCATTTCAAGTTGAGAGCTAGTGAGAACAGGCATGTGGATACCAAATCTTCTGCATACACTCTCTACTCTTACTGCCAGCCTAAACAATACATAAACATATCTAATATTTCTGACTTTTGTATAATGAATAAGTGAATATAATTCATGAACTGCCTTAAATCTTTTAATTGTCATGACAGCTACTAAGCTAGGCTACCTATGTAAATGAATTACTGTAAATGAGTCAATGTACTAAAAAATCCAAAATCCGGCCAAAACAAACATCTTGTAAAAATAAACAATAAATTGTGGACTTTTCTCTTAAGAGAAAACAGTTGATTATTACATGCTGTTGTTGAAAAACTATGTGATTTTGTCTGCTTCTTTAAATCCCTTATCCTATAGGAATCATGGACACAAAACTTTGTGGTTTACAATAATAGTGATAATTATTGATCAATGTTTGCTGCAAAACCTTGTCATACATACACCATGAAGGAGAGAATAAGAAAACAACATACCACATTCCACAAACATCAGAGACTAGATTTCCAAGAGCAGCCGCTGAAACATAAAAATTTCATGATGTAGCTTACTAAAATTAATTACTTTACATATCTCATCATTGTTGGTCATTTAAAATGTATTTTCAAACATGTGCTAAATCTTATGTGTTCTATTTTAATCATCTTCTGTCAGAAAGTAAATATGAGATGGGGATTGCTGTTAAGAAGATATTGATCCCTACTGAGATGTACATTATCTGTCTTCCTTCCCTTTAAAAATATGTTAATCTCAATCTCTTCTCCATAATGCTGTAGTAGCTTAGACTATATGGAACAAGGATATTGGTTTGGGTAGCTCAGTCGTTAGAGCACCTGACTAGTGATACAGGGGTCCAGGGTTTTGATTCACGGTATAGTCTTACATGTTCTTTATTCATTCCTCCTTTCCTACTACATATGGTGGGCAGTGCAGAGGGCTTTGTTTGGTTTACATGTGATTAATTCCTAACAAGGTGAACTTCTTGTGTGTCTTTGAGGTCAAAGACTGTTTCAGGAGGGAGGAATGTAGTAGTTTGAGCTATATGGACTGTGGATATTGGGGGTGGGGGTGGGGGGTGGTTCCCGGGTTTCATTCCCAGTCCAGCCATATATTTTCCTTATTAATTCCTCCTTTCCTACTACAGTGAAATGTTTAAGTTCCTTGATGTCAGATTTAAAAAGATGTTCTCAGTAGCAAAAATAAAATTCTTAGAGTTAGTCCATGGGCAAATAATTAATCTGTCTGTCAATGGGGAATATGAATTATTCTGCATGTAATTAGACAGCTCTGTGGGTTGGATTGCAAAAGAAAGATTCATTAATCATCTTTACCTGCCATAGTAGATATATGCAACAACTGGCCAAATTCATATTCTATGAAGTCACCCTGTAAAAACATTTAGACATTTTTCTTTAATGAATTATTTTACTAATGCAAGGTCTTATGGCACAAGTTAAAAAAGTAAAACTTTGTCTTATATTCTTTTGAAAAAAAGAGTGATTCTTATAAATTGAGAAAAAGAGTGAGTCTTATAAAGTCAATAAGTAAAATAATTTTGGGGATTCTTATAAATACTTGCTTCTAAGTTCACCAGTAATGAACAACTTTAAATTTATATGAATACATATACAAGTCACTTACAGCTAAAATCATGATGCAGTTATCAAAAAAACCAAAGCCTACAAATGGCCAAAACCCACACTGGAATGCTGAAGAAAACATTAACACAATTAATTTATAAAATCTGCAGCTGAGCTGTCCATATAAAATACACAGTAGCTAAAATGTACTGAAGAAAATATTCTGTAGAGAGGGAAGAGAGACTGTCCATTCAATAATTAATGTTAATAAGTTTACTAGAGTAAGGAAATTAAGTTGTCATTTGAATTTGATAACTTAATGATAAAATGTCTAACTCCTGTGTCTATGATGAGTTAATTAAACAATGATCACAGTAATAGTCACGACATAAATAAAAGATGTTACAATTTCTAGCATTTCACCTGTTAAAAGCTGGCCAGCAGTTGGGGGAATAGGACCTATAACGAGAAAACACATCAACTTTATGGTGCAAAAAAAGTGTTTTATGAACACGTGGATTTGTTTACATCAGAAACCACGCCCCTTAATTAACTGACCTTGGGTGTTTTCCGTCTGTTCTATAGTTTTCTTGAGTTCCTCGTATAAAAGTTGACGTTCGGTAGGTAAAAGAGTATAAGTAAAGTCTTTGGCTGTTGCCTCGTCACTGATCTTCCCCAGGACAGGTCTGTTGCTCATGTACACGTGGGACTGTTTATTAGCAATCCACGTCCGCGCTGACCTCATTACTAAATAACTATTCATTCGAGGTTTATACACAAAACTCAACGTCTCTACGAATTTTCTCGACATATTCCCACAGCAATGAAATCAAATTCGAAGAAAGAATAATCACTTTTGCAATATTTCTTGGTCACTAGAAAAAGACGTCACTCTCCTATCAAAAGTTTTTAAAATTAGTTAACTTGTACAACAAACATTTCGGAAATAAGTCATTTGATCAGTTGATCGAGCAATCAATACAATACGCGTAAGTTATCTTAAACACTTAGTATGCTTAAAGGGTAACACCAATATACTCGCTTTCTCACGGCTGATAAATAATTCACAGATCGCTTAAATTACAATATTAACCGCAAATATCTTTGTTACCGATGTGACATTGATTTTTTTTTGCGTATAATTATTGTAACGACCATTTTTCCGGCTGCATCGTTCTCCAAACAATACTCGCTTACTGACGTGTTTTTATCAACTGCTATAGTGTAGTTTTTTTTATTGCAAAAAGAGTACATGTTGGATGAAAAGGATTGGCAGTCACTTGCGTCGAGTCCTCTTTGCATCGCCGTTTTGATCGAAGAGAACAGATGGTACTGAGATAATCCATACTGTATACCATGTATACCGCATAGCTAAAATAAGAAAGATAACATCAGAAAAGCTTATTTTTATCATTTTAATAATCCAAGTCATATTTCCTTCCTGCAACATCTATATATTATAGGCAATAGGAAGAAGATGATAACGGTCCGTCGGTCTCATTGGGCCAAGATTGGCCACTCATATTTAAACAAAAAATGACAAATTTGTAGAATAATTCACATAATAAATTAGCATACTACTTTTTAACCAAGGCTTCAGGGTACATTCTATGAATGTCCATAGATCTTTATATTTTCCCGCTAAATAAGTTAGTAAGTCACATGATATTTTATCTTCCTTTATCATGTGACTATTAAAATGGTGGACATGAGAAGAGTGTTGTTCCTGGCATTTTGTCTTGCCATGGCATTGGCAGGACCAACTCCAGTCGTTCTTTGGCATGGAATGGGTAATGGTTTTAAATTCGTTGTGCACGCCTAATTAGATCAAGTGAAGAGCAGGACGTACAGTGTGTGTATTTATTTTCAGTGCTGTGCACTCATAAGTAGAAAGTGACATTCATTTGAAGCAAATCATAAGAGTCATACGTAGTGGATTCTGTCCCCTTCCTCCCCACAAAAAAGCAAAACGCAACCCATCCATCCCGGAAGTTTATACGGAGATTCAGTTGTTGTATAATGTATAATAAATGCAGAAAAACTTAAAACTTTTATTTAATCTAATACCCTTTGAATTTCCTCAGAAAAATAGATTAATATGTTTAACAATTTAAGGGCTAAAAAGTTAATAAGTGCGTCAGAAAGAAAGTCATGAAATCAATGGAAAAGAAAAACTGGAAAGTATGTTTTATTTTATCTACTTCAATTATAATTTTGGGTAGCAGAGAAATTATTAAATAATTAAAATATTAAAGATAAATATTATACTTAATCAGGATAGGCAACTTCTTCAGCACCAGATTTATTTTCCAACATACATCACACACAACATTACAGGGTTTTTTTCAAACTCTGAGGTTTATTTCCAGTAAAAAGTTTGTTTTCTCTTGAATGTAATCTGTCTTTTTTGTGAATTTTGATTTTAATAAATTTTAAAGCATGCCTTGTAAAATATATACTGTATAGGGGATTAATTTCACGGGTTGTAATTTTCATGTTTTTCTCTACTCTGACACGATCGCGGTTTGTTGAATTCGCAGAATTGGTATATAATGAAAGTTACCTCTCTTGTCTATATCCGTTTAATCCATAGCATAGCTGGAACAACATTAATCAGCATTAGATATTCACTTCACGAAGAACAGGTTAAGTCTACATAAAATAGTTAGATTTAATAATTAATTGTCGATTAATTAAAACAAGTGCAGTTAATAAAAGTCCTTGACTATAAATGTCGAATGACTTTCTATACTATTACGATGAGTGCATGTACACCCCAAGATCTTCTTCCGAAGGGATAATATATCGCGACGAAAAACCACTGGACGATAAGAAATTTGTTAATGTAGGTCAACGAAATAATATCCTTCCACATCTTCAGCAAGTTCGATAGTTATTTGAATAATTTTTAAAAACCAAATTAAAATGTCAATAAAAACTAAAACGCATGATAATGCAGGTAACAAATATACATGTGGTAACATAGTTATGCACACATAATAAAAACCCATGACCCACATGTTTTGATTGATGAAACATGAAGCATTGGCTATTAAAACAGCTTTTTATCAAATATGGGTTATCATCTGCTGATTTGAATTAAAGAAAAGCGTGATAATTAAAATAATTGAATGACAAGTACGACTCGTAATACGGAAATGACCATGTACTGCACGTATATATACCTATTATAGTCTATTCTCAAATTTCCAAATATAACATGGAGGTTATTGAAAACTTATTCACTGTTTCTTGAGTTCACAGATTTATTAACACCGCGAATATAGCGAATATTAACACTGCGAGTTATTTTCCCCTTATACAGTAATTTAAATATAAAGCAAACAGCCACTAAAGTCTCCCAAATACTGCCAATCATGGGGGTGACTTGATTTTGAATATACCATGTAATTAAACTAAGATAAGCAGTAAAAATAGTGCTAATAACAAATTTTGAATAACTTTTTTGATTGATATAAAAAGGTTTTGTTCTGATATATTTGATAACATTAGAGGCAAATTATATTTAAATCTTGCTGAACTTACGAGATACTGTGAGACTTAAATTGGGAGAGTTGCTTTAGTAGATAAGTCCCTATTTTGAGCAGATTAATCTTAGCAACCTTATGCCCAATTACATGTAGCAAACTGTAATGTATCTTTGATGTCTTCTATATAACAATCAACTAAAAAAGAACAAATATGTGAAACACAATCAGAACACAGATATGTTCTTCTTTCACAAGTTAATGTATAAAAGTTATGTTACCCAAGTGACCTATTATCTCACTGTCATGTCAGTTTTGCTCTCCATATGACATGTAATTTATTGTGAGGTGATCATCAGGAGTTTATAAGTAAAGTAAATGTAAGATACATGTACAGGGATGGAGAAATAAGATAGATATGTATTTAGGGTGCATATTACGTGTATTTTCAAGATATAAGTAGATGACAGGAAAAAGTGTCTTAGCTATATATAAACTTAAGTTGACTGTTGAATATATAAAATGTATTAAAAAAGAAAAGCATAATGAATTTTGAATATATTTTATTAGTTTATTGATGAATGAATCAGTTGTATATTTCTATGTATGTTGACAGGTGACAGTTGCTGTAACCCTCTTAGCATGGGGTCCATAAAGGGTCTGATTGAAAAACAGGTCAAGGGAGTTTATGTGAAATCTCTGGAGATTGGAAATAATATTGTTGAGGTTAGTGATTAAAAATAAACAACTAAATGTAGTTTTGTTATCTTCTGATTGAGTTCAGATGTTTACAAAACACATTTTCATGAAAAGAATTAAAAAAAAAAATCATAATTTTGTTTAGGATACAGAGAATGGATTTTTAATGAATGTGAATCAGCAGATTGACCTTGTGTGTGGTCAACTCTCCAAGGACTCTAAACTTCAGTCTGGCTACAATGCCATTGGATTCTCCCAGGGTGGACAGTTCTTGTGAGTATCATGTTACATTAACATATTTAGTGAAGACCACTCCATGTACAAAGTCATACATAGAGTGGACACAGAGGCACTTATAATGAATTTTTCCTCATAGTATAACAATACAAGGTATCTAAACTCCAAGTTACAAGGAGTATCCCCCTCCCCAAAGTTGCAGTCATTTACCCTTTCAGAGAAAACACATCAGGAAACTATTGAATACCATTCTCTTCTAATACTATATCATTTATCTACAAAACCATATATGGCATGCTTGTCTTTATTTTCTTTTATCTCCATAAACAGCATCCAAACATTGCTCGCTAACTGGAAAATTCATTTCACAAAAATTTAATCACAATATCTTAATATTGCAATTAATGAATATATTGTTTCTACTTTCGTTTTCCATAAATCATCTACAATATTTTCATGATGTAATTCAAAAATCCAAATAGATATTCTGACAACTGACTTAGTACATAGCACTTGGGATATGTGATAAATAATTCAGTTTTAAATTATCAGAGGGGTCGGGAAAAGGGGCTAAAGTATTCAGCTGAAGTGGAAACATCCTTTCATGAAGTTATTTTGATATTGATAATTTTCATTTTTTAAAAATTAAGTTTTCCTGCATCCACTAGCTTGCATCATTTTAATTCCACATTATATGTACTTCACTTATTTTAAATATATAAAATATATATTACTGGTATATTTGGTACAAACATACTGACTTGGTGATAACCTACAGCCTCTCCACTTCTGTATAAGACTATAGGTGTACTTCTTTCCCATGAAGTATTTAAAAACTAGAAATTATAATTTATATATGTTGCTCATAATGCTATGATTTTCTTTTTATAGTGTATGCATATATATGTTTTATGCATGTCTTCCTTGAACAAAAGAAAAGGATTTAAAAAATAGACATTTATAATATACATGTACCCAGTACTTGATATTCTAAATAGTATTCTTTATTTTATATGACATCCACAAGTTTTTATTTTACTATCGATTACAGGTACTTAATGTTACTGTATAGTCAAAATTGCTCTGGATTGACATGAAATTCTCTATCTAATAGTCAGAAAATACTGCCAGAGGACATGGCATGGACTCTTAGTGAACATGTAATTATGGGAGATAGGATCATTTCTGTTGAAACTAGAGATTACCCTGGTAGTCATTAATACTCAGAAAATCAATATCTGTACCATTTGAGAAGTTTTACTGTCAAGGTTCTACAAATTTTCATTAATCACAGACATTCTGTGTGATGTACGACTATTTATAAGATTTATAGAGATGAAGAATTTTAAATACTTGTTAACTTTTCAAAATCTTCACAGAAGTTTCATTTTTAGTTAGCAAACAATTAATTTGTCCCCCGCTTTCAGGAAATTGCATGGACATTAAATGTGATTCATCTTCTGTCCATCCATCTGTCCATCTGTCAGTAACAAAAACTTAAATTTTGGTCAAAATGTTTGAATGAGAAAAGATATGGCTTTTATATTTCAATGTGCATTACCTGTGACAAGACCTTTCAAAATGTACAATGGTTTTTTTGACCTCTTGACCTTGAAGTTTGACCTACATTTCAAAAAAAATTTAACTTTAGTAATAACTTCTGAATGGAAGAAGATAGGGCTTTCATATTTCACATGTGCATTACCTATGCATTACCATTGAGCTATCCAGGTCAATATCCATGAACCAAATGCCCAAATTACTACATTCTTTCCTCTTAAAATAGTCTTCCCACCAAGACACACACACCTTTGTCAGGACTTAGTAAATACATAAATAATGCCTGAACAATGTCAGCCACAACACCATCTGTAGTATGGAAAGCAGGAATGAATAAACTTATTTATTATCTTTTGATTTCTAAACTATTTTCAAATTGTCTGAAATAATATATAAACCAAAAATCATGACATCAGCAGTTCAAGTGATTTGCAATTTAGGATTATACAGGAAATACATCCTCCAGAATCTTGCACAAATGTCTTGTAATATGCCCCTATGTTTGTGAGAAAACTTCATAAAGTAACAAATATTTTAATCAAAAATTCTTTTGAAAAGTTATATTTTTGAGGAACATGTTGTCTGACCTTAATAGAGTTAAACTAATCATAATTAAAGTTAAATGTTATATTTCAATATTTTGATTTGCATATTTATGATTTTGTTACACATTGCAGAAGAGCAATAGCTCAGAAGTGTCCAAATCCCCCCATGCTGAACCTCATCTCTGTAGGGGGCCAACATCAAGGTAACAATTTTAATGGAAAGTTAACATAATTAAGAGTTGTCTCCCTGGATGATAAAATGTCTAAATTATTTTAAAGAAATTAAAATTTTCAAAATTGGTAAAATGAAAGCTATCCCAAACACTTTCTGCTCTTTTTCCAATACAGTGTACTTCTGAGAGTGACAGTTTGCATGATTATTAATCAAACCTGATGTATTGTAATAAACCAAAAAAAAATATCAAAGGATAAATTATTGAAGTGAAGGTATTGAAGTGTTGATCTACTGACCTAAAAAAAACTAAGACAAATTTAGATCATGAAAATTAATAATATTGTGTGATTTCATGTTTAGGTGTGTATGGATTTCCCCGTTGCCCTGGTGATAATAGCACACTGTGCGATATTGTCAGAAAGCTGCTGAATTTAGGTGCATATAACAGGTCAGTTTCCCTTGTTAATATTCATCTCATTTTTATAAATCAATGAATTAAAATTTATTGCATATTTTGCTGGTTTGATAATATAAAAACTTAGATATATTTTGCTTCTCCTTTCAGTTTTGTTCAAAACAAGTAAGTACCAAGTCATTTTTTCAAGCTCCCCCCCCCCCTCCTTCCCCCAAGAGCTGCAGCTTCTGTACCATATATTAATTATCACTCATCAGCAATTCCTAAATAAGACTCTGCCTTGTATGACAAAGCTTTTGATTTTTTTTACTCAGAACTTTTTAAAAATATTAAAGGGGGGGGGGGGCATGATTCCAAGTTCCTGCATGTTACAAAACAGTTTCATTGTGAATAATGGAAAGATATATATATATATATATATATATACTCTGTGGAAATACATTGTAGTAATAAAGATACACATTGATTGCATTCCATTTCGAAGGTTGAGTAAATATTATACCACAATAATTTCTCTTATTTACTATGAAGTCCTGGCTTGTTGTAGTCTTGTCCAAGCGGAATACTGGCATGACCCTCTCCAAGAGGAGGAATATAAATCGAAGAGTGTGTTCTTAGCTGACCTGAATCAGGAAAATGTAAAAGTCTTTATTTCAACAGACTTTAAAAACTACATGTTACTTAACTTTCAAATATAAAAGCTTCAATGAATAAAAAAACAGAATACCATTCTGCAATATTTTATATATATAAATTACAGAAGAGAAATGAGACCCAGAAGAACAATTTGCTGAAGCTGAAGAATTTTGTGCTGGTGAAATTCTTACAAGATGAGATGGTGGACCCTAGGGACAGCGAGGTAGGGACCTGTCATTGGTACCCTGATGTTTGGTATGGAAATTTATCTGAAATAAGGTGTGCCAGATAAAAAAATAAATCTTGTGTGATAATGTGCAGTCAAATAAGTTGATGTTTTATCGAGATGCAAATTTAGCAATTTAGCCAAAAAATTGGTGTGTAAATTATTTAGCAATAAGAAATTTTAGCAATTGACAATACCTTGCAAGATAGCCTTATCTCCTTGGTGCTGAATGAATTGTTAGCGATACGCAGATTTAGCAATCACAACACCCCTGCTAACTCAGACTATTTGGAAACTATAATCTTAGAATTTAAATTTGAATACTGTAGTTTAATTGGATTTTACTTCTGAATTGTAAAAAAAACTTCATTTCAGTGGTTTGGCTTCTACAAACCTGGACAAGCAAAAGAACTCTTCACCCTTTTTGAGTCACCACTCTATCAAGAGGTAATTAACAGTGAAAATCAATGAAATCAAGTATTTGTTTTCTTATCTATAATTCCACCCCTCCCTATTAAATGTGTATTATAAGCTTAGTATTTTCTTTTGTCCCAGCCTGAGACAAGATAATCAGATTTTCATCATTTAAAAATAATGTGCATACTGGAAACTGGAAGAGACAATTCCATTTAAAAAAAAAAAAAAAGAATAATGTTATAGAGAAGTTACCCTGATTGCCTTCTTGATTATTATCATATAGACATGAGATATCATTTGTGATGATGAAGAATCAGCCTACTAGCTTATTAACCCATGCTAATTTCACCTTTCAATCACATAGGATTGGCTGGGATTGAAGACGATGAACAGTACTGGTCGCCTCCACTTTCTGGCCTCTCCAGGTGACCACCTACAATTTACAGAGCAGTGGTTCATTGACAACATAGTCTCCAAGTTCCTCAAGGGATAGCTCCTGCACTGTCAGTTACCATAAAGGAGATTACAACTGATACAGCAATTCATCAATGCTCTTCAAAAACCTACTCCCAAGTTTTCCCTCTGTTGATCAGTAGATTATTTCCCTTGATTTAAAATGAATAACTTAATATGATTCATCTTTGTACAGGCTTTGTACAGGCTACAGGAGGTATTTTTCAATTTATTTATCAAGTTGCTTTGATAAACTTTGTTTTTTTAGTTTAACAAAGTTAATTTGTATGTCACATTTACTGAAAAGTCCATGTTGTTTTGTGATCAAGTCTTTGTATGATTTAATCCTGTATGGTCATCCACAGTAATTATTGATCATTTTGAATGTTTTCATTTGCTTTTTATGTATTCATTGAATGAAACAAACTCAGCTGACACATCACAATATTTGCAGTACCGTTATATATGGTTTTCCCGCTATTCTCCACCAATTCATGCAGGGTACTAACTGTACTGCAAGTACAGCATATAATAATAATTTTAAAAAGGCATTTATCTTGTGAAAAATATCAACATATGGTGTATTCAGTGGATAAATTCCCAACACAAAAAGTATTGTTGTGTCATCTATGTTAAATGCTTATCTTTGGTGTATCATGTTACTTAAATTGTCTTTCCTGTGCTATAATTTGTCCGTTGAATTTTTTTATTTGAATATTTGTATGATTAGAGATTGTAAGAGTGATATTTATCAGTGTCCTGAATTTGACACAATATGATTGAGTATTCATGTTTATCAAATAAAAACTATTTTCGTAGTACTTTCTTTCAATTCTACATGACTGTATAACAGGAAAGTAAGATTGCTTATGACCGAGGTCAAGTTAAAATTCAACTTGCAGAAGAATTTCTGAAATGCAACATTGCCTATCGTAAATATTTAAAGGCAGAGAAATAAGCACCTCCTCCAAATTTACCTGGTCTAGGGACCCCCATCAATCAAGCAAATTAAGGTCCAGGATCAGGTGATAGAAATCATTTCTTACTTTAAATTAAACACATAGACAAATTAATTGACAATATCGTTTATTTTGATGTACACATATCCACTATTATAATGTCAGGAAAATACTTTTCTACCCTAAATGTTGCATATAAGACTGAAAAACAAAAAGTTGTCAAAGTACATTTAACATCGAAATAATACTGAGACCTATATTACATAATAAAAATATTCACATTCTTTCATGAAAGAAAAAAACTTTAAATAACAACCATTTTACTCGATGTAAAATTCGATGTACAAGTTTGAGTGATGTCACTTCATGATCTCATTCAGTTATAAATAAACATATGTACATAGAAATGTCAGCAACAGTAGGACAGGGGTGGAGGTGAGGGGCATAGCTGTAGTGTAGATACACAGTAGGTCCTTGTCGGACATTTTAGGACACTTCCCTTCCTCTGCTAGAGTTCGGCTGGACTTTGACACCTGATTACATGTACCGTTAATGATACGGTATGCTCCTGAGTTCACAATACTACAACGAAATGTAAAGATAAACATTAATCATGCTCAAAATGCCAATTAGAAATTAATTATTGATAGCAGAGCAAACATGGACCCGAAAACATCAAGTGGGATAAGATGCCAAAGCTATAATACAAGAAAATTAAAAAAAAAAATTGATATAGTTTTGTTGTTCATTATATATATGATGACAAAAATTTGTTTTCCACATGTATTAATGTTTCTCTTCACTGTTACAATTTTTATGGGCTTACAGTCTTGAGAAGGTCCCATTAATTTTTCTCATGCCTTACATACACATTGGCTTTAAATGCATGCATATATGAGTAACAGTGAAACTACACAAATTTCCTTCATAAATGTAATATTCATACATACCTCCGTGTGATTTGGCAATTGAAATTATAGAAGAGAGAAGCTGGGTATGAATTCCAGTTCTCTATGATGAGCAGATAGAGGTTTGTTTTTGGCAGTGAGGTCACGTAGTAAAATCCAGACATGCAGGGTCCAGATACATTCCCGGTTATCATTCCACTTGGACCTGAAAGATGTGTATTGATCAACAAATTGAATTCAGAGTGAAAAAAAAAACATAACTTCAAGTCTTTAGAACCAATAAATGTATGGTTAATTATGAAATAAATAAGAGTCTGATTATTTATCTTCAAACGTGTTCATTATTGACCAGACTGCAAAGCAATTGAAGCAGTGATGATGTTTGTCCCTGTCAAGAATTTTATCTAGCCATTACATTTTAGCTCTGTTGTGGGTGATCTATTCTGAGTATAATATTCTTCATCTTCAGAACATAATTATGAGGTGAAACAAGCACTGTCATCAAGATAAACCTTGATGTTTACCTTGAAATTGGAAATGAAACAAATTTACCTCTGCTGAATATGACCTCCATTTTCTGATCACTGAATTCTTATTTCATGCATTCAGTTTTGACCTTGACTTAAACTTCTTTTCAAATTAATTACCATGGTGATCCCTGTTGTGTTTGATTTTTTTAACATAATCTCTAAACTCAATTCAGTCAGGATAAAATGTTTACAATATTTCAATAGGAGTTAACCTTGGCCTTGATCTTTGACCATAAAATTCAGAGATGCATGTCATACAGAATTGCTAGCCCCTGTTGTGGGTGACCTGTCAGAATTATGATCTTTTTAAATTTAATACTTTGATAAATTAGAATGTAACATTTAGATTCAAAGTTCAATGTTGACTTTTGGGTTTGCTTTGAAATGGTATATGATTGTTAGGCTCTGTGAAAGGTTATATGTTTATACGCCCGTCTTAAGACGGGACGTATTATGTTATAGCCTTCATGTCCGTCCGTCCGTCTGTTAGCTTTTCGTGTCTGGCTCATAACTTTTAATACTATTAGACCTAGAATTATCAAACTTTGTCAGCTGATACTTCTTGGGTAGAAGGTGTGTCGCGCATTAAAAGTAGGTCGCTCTGACCTTTAATTAAGATGCTATGGCCAAATATGGAAAAATCCTGTCCGGCTCATAACTAGAAAACTATTAGACTTAGAATCATCAAACTTGGCCAATTTATGCATCTTAGGTAGAAGGTGTGTCGCAACCTATTTCAAGGTCACTGTGACCTTTAATTTAGTGAATTTTTTTTAAAAAACTGTGTCTCTATACTGTTAAATTACACAATCCCCAAAAATGTAAGAATGTTGCAGTATCCTTATTAAAAAAATTTTAAATCAAGAAAATACTTATTTTTTTCATTATATACTTTACAGCAATCTATAACAAATGTAATGTTATAAGAGAAATTCTACCTTTCCCATGGGTGTAATCATCAAGCACTGGTCAAGGAGAATTTTGATAACAGAAAATTACATGTCAAATTAGAGAGAAATTAATGAGTTTAGTGTGAGGAACTAACTGGTAGAGCATCTCTGATCAAGCAGGTGTTATCTATATCTCCTGGGGATTGGGCAATCTAGATGAATCTAGTTGGCTAGCCTTTTAACTTTTAAAATGTATTTGGTGAAAAGTAATTAAAACTAACTTGATATTGTATAATAAACTAATATGATATTATATAATATACTGGGGGGGGGGGGGATATTGGAATCAGCATGTCGGGTTGTCTGTTTGTCAGTATGAACTGCAGCTTAAAACTAGTCTGACATTAAATCTCAAAGAAATCATCAAGACACTATTTTATAAAAAAATGTTTTATGGTAGATAGTTCCTACAAATCTAAGAGTCATGCAGTAACCTTATTAAAAATACTGCATCAAGTTTACACAAGTTTTTGTTTCTTTTTATAAATCTTTGTAACAAGTTAAAAAAAAATCTGTTTTCAATGGAATGTCATAAATATATGCATTTTTATTACAATACAGACTAATAAAGCAGATAGTGCAGATCCATTCATCCCTTGGGAGTAATGAATGGACATGCATCCAGTTGAAGATTATAATTAATTAGTTCAATGTGTAGGAAGGCTAGCTGTCTCAATCATTTCTGTTAGAGCATCTCTGATCAAGCAGCTCTTATCTGTATCCTTTGGGAATTAGAAAAACTGCTTGTCAGTTTATAGCATATGTCATTTGATGGCCAGCCTTTTATTTTCAAAATTAATTTGGTATAGATTAAATTGTTAAGACTATTTTGATATTGTTTAATATGAAATTTTTATTTAATTTTTTGAAAATATCAAATAAATATGAAAGGGGGGGGGGGAGGGAGGGGGCTGCAGATGGGCATTTGTCAAGGTCTAACACAACCAGTTGAGAAATTTATCATAATTAGTGCCTGCACTACAGGAAATGTATAAACATCAAATATTATGAGGAATGGAAAAGTCATGGAAATCTTTGAATTAAGGTTGACATGATTTTCTTGCACCCTAAACTGTTTATGATAATTGAACAATATTTGACGGGCATATCATGCTGTGGCGGGGCACTTTATTTTGTCGTTACCCAATTTAATTTATGTAAAGGTAATTTAGGACTGATCACAACTATTCAAATGAGTGCTTTGCAGTTTCTTGTTACATTTTTCAAACAAAAATTGGTGTTCATACCTAGTGCTTGATCATTAGTTTTAAATTGTATAACATCTTGAATACAGCCATATTCACTGTTGAACTGAGGAATAGGACCTTTGTTTCTGATGTAGTCATCCTGCTCCCCTGGATTTTTGGGAATCCCATCCAGAGATAACTGCAAAGGAACAGATCATGTAAAAAGAATATAGCTAATAATTTAAACTATATTTATGTGTCTTATTTACCTGGTTTATAACAATGTTAACATGCTTGGACTTAAACCATATAAGAATATTCTATTACCTTTGGCTCTTCTGGTGTGATTCGACACGATCCCTGAAAATCTATGCTCTCTCCTCGATCGAAGAAGCCATGCTTGTAGATGAGATCTTTCATTACCTCTCCCTCTTTAGTACCAAGTTGGACCTGTTCATATTTACTCTCATCTAAAGCACTGGCTATCAAAAAGTCAGGATCCATTACAAGAAATGCCTTGCTGTCAAACAAGTAGCACCTGTATAATAGAAGTATTTTAGAAAGATGACAAAAAGATCATTTACGAGTAAATATTTGGTTTCTTAGTAATACATGTATTATCTTAAGTTACCAGGTACATTGTTTTAGATAACTTAATGATAGTCTATTATCAATCTGAATTAAAATCAAATTATTATTTTACCTCAACTCTACTTAAGACAGCAAATATTACAAGCAAACCTTGTCTGACATTTATTTTCTCCATTGGGACAAATGTAATGTTGGTTACAGGACTTTAATCCATTACTGGCCTGCATGGCCTCCATTGTTCTGTTCTGGAAATCATCATACAGGATGTCCAGTCCGGTCACTCCCTCCACACGTTCTGTAGCACAGCGGCGCTGGTCAGAGTTAGGACCTGGTGCTTCACTCACATAACACACACCTGCATAGAATCAAAGTGAATTTTTATTATACCATTACCTCCTAAAAAAAAGATAATCAAAATTTGCTTAATGCATAATTTAAGTTTATAATGTAAGCAAGCTTCAAAATGAGGAATATTAAAGTCAAGGTCATAGGGGGGATCAAAGTCCGAAAATTATAACACAGTTGAATATCTCACACCAAAGCTTAACAGTGTGTTTTTAAACTTAGCAAAATGAGAAATAGTAATGTCAAAGTAAATGAGAAGGTCAAGTTCAGAAAATTATGATACAATTGAATAGCTCTCATCAATATTTATTAGTGTATTTATTTCAATAAGAACAACCTGAACAGTTT